CAATGTCCTGTAATTTTTATTACATTGTGAATTCTGAAACCTAGAGGATGAAAGTTTCAAGAACAACTTCGTATAAGTACACCGTAGGATCATTAGAGAATATTAAAATTCGAGCCTCTTTGGCAACATTTAAATAAATAGTACAGTAATTTCACGTCAACTTGTACAAAAGTTTCGAGAGAATCGCAGGCATGACAATGAACAATATGAGACAGATTCTGAATAGGATAAACGATAGTTTCTACCGCTTTTTATTGCGTTTTTTCTTTACTGAATGTTTTATCCACGAAGCGGCCGACAGAAACAATTTGTCACACACTAAATAAATACATGACATGGGTGATCATTGATCATGACACAGCTCAACTAGCGAGAGAGAGAAACGTTCGCTGGACCAGTAAGTTTTCAATAACTATCGATGATGGACTGATGCATAAATTTCAATAATATAGTAGCGATTCATCCGACAATCTCGTGGTTTTGTCGTTGTACGAAAACGTGATCGTTTCTCGATGAATACATGACATTAGAATCGATTGTGAGACTTTTTTGTTAATGCTGACAGATTCTTCGAGGATACTGCGTTTTTTCCCATGTTTCTAATTTCGCCACTTGGTCAAACGCCGGAGTTTTGCTACGGTTTATCTTGCAGGATCTGGAAGTTAAGCGATGGAATGAAATCGTGGTGCACATCGTTAAGTCGCATCAGACTTCTCATATATGCTGAATAGACTGAATGCTAAGTTTCGTAACAAACCTAAGTCGAAAGTTTATGCTGCACATAACATGTATTATTTATAAATGATATGATATGATATTATATTCATGAAGTATAATGCTGCGAATACCTTACACATTACCTGCCAAATACCTTATGTCCCACTGAACTGGGATCTTAGAAGGGGTGCAGAGCTTCTTCCAATAGGTTGAGACGCTGATGACAGCCATTCATCATTGATATGTATCTGACCTAAACTTTACAAGGAGCTTCAGCTCTCTCAAATCCGTTGGACTTGACCAAGGTTGGGGAAACATCAGGACGATTGGTGCTTGAAATAGAATAACGACAAATACTCGCCAAAAGCACCCATGAAGGGACAAAACTGGATGGCATCGCTTTCATTTTGTGGCACACCCACGAGGAAAATTTGAATAAACGATAACAGCTTATGGCATATGTCATTTTAAAACATTATAAGTGTATATCATATGTAATATATAATACATCATGAATGTTTTATAGCAGCCGTTCATTATATACTATTTTCCATGCACAAGTGCTTTATACATATATATTATCTTGATTTACGTCTCCTTTTTAGGATCACTTAAAATACCACTAAAAAAGCTAATAAATTCTGCTACTAATCATCATTGTGTGCTAAAATGAATCCATCCTATTGTATTAATGCAAGCATTGAATTTTGATAAAATGTTAAATTGAGTGTTACTGCATAAACCATTCACTGCCTGGCTCCTGCACCAAATGGACGACTCAATTTCTGCCTTACACATAATGAAAATATAGATAATTATAAAACTTAGTCCATGTATTACTTGGTAGCTCTTCTTAAAGACAAGCCATTTAAGACTTGTAGTTGAATTTTGCTTCACTGATTATTTACTTTCTCTTTTAATACAGATGCCTTCATTTTCTTTACAGGCTAACCTTCGTCATTCAACCTCGAAGACCTTACGGTTGCCGAATAAACTTATCGCGTGCAACGACAAATTGCACTGGAGTTTGCTGTTCCTAGTGATGGGTGCATGTTATAAGATCTGAAATGATTAGTCAAACATACAGCATCAACTACTGGTTTGGATACACCATTATGTTTTTGGGAAAAATCACTAAAATTGGATATCTGAACTGCGTGGCAGACGATCTTTTACTCCAGAGCTTGATAAAATCAATTTATCATGCCATCTCTTCCGTTTGATGATAACGGCCCATGGACTGGATGGAAGAACGATCTTCGAAATGTCTAATGTCCAACAACAATATACCGCAGAGAAAGACGTTATTTATGTCAATTGCATTGTAAGAACCGAAAAGTACGGCTGTAAACTCAATCTCAGATGCAGCAGCAGATATCAACCATCAGCGCATAAAATGATAAGTAGTTCTGCAATATAATATCTGATCTTAGTAGCTTATGTCACTCAAATCGACCAACCCGCTTACTCACGACTTTAATCTCGAGTGCTTGATATTGACAGAATGAGTACTGTAAAAAATGGCATCATTTAAGCTCTTCTAAAAGACTGCTGGCATATTAGCTTCAAAAACAACAATTCATGATAAAAAGCGTAATCGTGTATGATCCACTATATAACACTCAAATGATCTAGAACGACCCTTTTGAGCCATCTTCACCACGAACAACATTAGCTAGAAAAGAGTCAGCATATGCAGATTGTTGATCCTTATGAACAGAAAATATGCTATCGTTAATCACCAAGAGAAAGAAAATTCAAATTTTTTGGGTCGAGAGGCTGAATAATAGCTAGGAAAGGAACTGGCATTACTCAATGACGGTGGTTACTCATCCTCGCAGACCTGATCGACGTGTATGCCATGCAAATGTCGAACCAGATTGACAATCCCTATCACATTTAGAAATCTTATGAATTGTAGAGCAGAAGACAAGATTTATCAAACAGACTGCCGATGACATTACCCTTTCATTTGTTTTGTTTGCTTTTGTAACCCTGTCTTCAGGCAGTGGCAGTGCTTCCGAAGTTAACGATCCTGTGTCAGAGTCTGAGCTTCGGCGGAAGAAAACTGGAGTGTGGAACAGACTCCTTCAATTCACCTCCACCATGTTAATATTGGCCATCCAATGCGTGTTCCGCCGGTCGATTAGGAGAGCAGTAGTTGTTTCATCTTCTCTTCTACAAGCATTCGCAACATAAATCCAAATTATCGAAGTTGTTACTTCCCACTCTGAAAAAGTACCAGCAGTATCTCAAGGCTCTCGTGAATGTTTATATTTCGGAAGAAGTCGAGACATGAAACACCAGCGACTCATCTCAGAAAGTCTCTTTGAGCAGTTTGAACCCGACAACGACATTTTTAATTCGTGGACCACGACTCATTCCGGTAGGTAAGCACGGAGAAAAATATCGACTTGAATATCGAGAGCTTAGTTTTCAGACTCACCTCCGTTTTAGTCACAATGAATCGGACTACTTCATGCAGAACGCCAATGGCAGCTCCAATCCACCGATCGAACAATTCAAATTTTCCAACGTCTATAAATACGACTCGAACGTACTTGAACTTATCCAGCTGCTCCATTGCTTCGCAGTTACTCTAAAGATAGAAAAAGACAAGAGATGGAGCGTGTATTAGGCTTTTCGTTTTAGGAACGTTCATATGCATGTCGGTCACGTCGCAGACGGCAGCGAACCTTTTCAGGGAGCAATATAGATCAGCTTCAGAAGATTGAATAATAAAACATAAAACATGGTGGTCTGCAAACAGCAACCTTCCCGTCTTCACATCTCCTACACCGATACGCTCATCGCTTTGGCAGCTCCTCACTATTCTGTCCATGCACAACACAAACAGGATAAGGGACAGGACGCAGCCCTTGGCGGAGACCAGTGCGAACGTTGAATGGTTTCGACTTAACGCCATTAACTCTGACGCAGCACCTCCTATCAAAGTACAGTGATTGGATGCCTCGTAGCAGCTGGCCATCTATGCCGTATGCTCGAAGGCATGTCCGCAGATTATTGCGTGGGATTCGGTCATACGCTTTCTCTAGGTCCACAGAACACATGTGCACCGGATGGGCGTACTCCCACGATTTCTCAACAATCTGGCGCAGGGCAAATATATGGTCAGAGGTGCTTCGACGAGGCAGGAAGCCACACTGCTCTTCTTGGATCTTGAGGTCAGCTATTCCTAGCACCTTTGTGTAGACTTTACCTGGGAGGCTCAATAACGTTT